GGCTGAGAGCAAAGTGATCTTTCTTCTCTATCCTTCTGACATGAGTCAGTTAAGATTCATCCACTGGTCCAGTGAAGGAGAGAAAATGAGAGACTGGGAGGGTGGGGACCAGGGGGGACAGAAGATCTGAGCTGCCTGATGGCCACCTTGATGAAAGCGTGACCTCCTTTCACGCCAAGTTTTGTTCTTAGAGCTTGCACATAGTGCCACGCCACCACTTATCAAAATGGAGAGATAAAGAGCTCCTATCTGACAAATCTTGCAAACTGAGCAATGACCCAGTGAAGTTCTCTGAAGAGTCAAAAGTTCATCATCTCACCGGGACTCCTGATGCCAAACAACACTGGGAGCCCAAACACAGATAAGCATATTGCCACTGTCATCATTTTCTGCAATTAATAATTATTTAAAATGCATAGGAATATGAGAAAGAGTAAAAGATAATACCACACAGCCTGTATGTGACTCTGAATAAGCACCGAAAAGGAAGACTCATTGCCCATGAGCCTGTCCCCGATCCGGACCTCTGAGAGTTACGCTGCACTTCTATTACAGTTCTTTAAATATTACTCCTGGATGCACCCTGCCTTCTGGACTCAACTGTAAGCTCCTTATGGACCAGGCTTGCACCTCAAGAGACAATGCACTGTGGTGCTGAAGAGTACAGGCTGGGTCCCAAGCATGACTTTGCCTCTTAAGAGCTGGTCAACCCTGGGCAGGTCACTTATCCTCTCTGTGCCACTGTGTCCTCATCTGTGAAACAAAGGTACTAACAGTGCCTACCTCAGAGGACCACAGTGAGGATTAAATGAGTTAATACACAGTAAGTGACCACCTATTGATCATCTCTAAATTTCCTTCAGGGCCTAGCTGGCATAAAGCCTCTCACACATTTGATGCTTATTAAATATTTTCAGACACAGTGATCTGCCCTGGAGTTGTTTTGTCCATCCTTCTCACTCCTGTCCTAGCTTTCTTGTCTTTTTTGAAAGGTAGGTAAGTTACGGCTTCATTCTGAGTCATTTGGGGGAATACAGACAGCCCATCGTTAACAACTCAGTTCAAAAAAAAATCTTAAATAATCCTCGAGTTTTCTCTAACTGTATTAAAACATTGCCCACTACCAGCAATGTAACCAGAAAATTTCCAGCCTTCATTTTAAGCCAGGTAGTTTTAGGATCCTTCCTCCACCCCCAAGTCAAGGCTGGCTAATTCTATATTTCTTTTTTTCTATGAAGTATAACTGGGAAAGCAAGTTGTTCAGAAAGCCGTGCCTAGTGAATGTGTGTTTACGTGTGTGTGTCACAGTTGAAAGAGTCTGTATAAAACCTCCAGAAAAGCCTCTAGAGTCATAAAATGCATCCATATTAATGCAATTTATCCAAGTACAGTAAATGAATTGCCACAAAAATGAACAACTGCTCCTGAGTCAAGTAGATGGCACAATGTGATTGACACATATCACATGAGATGAATAAATCAACGGTGGGAAAGATCAAAGAAAATGCTGGAACTGTTGTTACTATATACAGGGCCTCACTGAAAATCTTCTTAATAAAACTGTTTAGAGGAAAATAGAAGGATCATTTGTTTAAATGAAAAGATACACTGCATGTGCTGAATTTCAAAAGCAGAATCCATTTTCATACACACACACATACCAGGTTTAGCTAAAATTAGCTCAAGTTCCTACTTCTTTTAAAGGTCTTAAAGGAACAAAGGTTTCAACAAGATTTCATTGCGCTGAGTTTTCAAGGTGTCTGAGCTCCTAGGGAGGACCCCCCATTACCCCCACCCATGCCTCATCCCCAAGTCTTAAAGAGGAGGCATACCACACCAATATTTTAGCTCCTATCTGCTGCCACTTACCTTCTCTCTACAAGCTCTATGCCAGTTGATGGTCTCCCTGAAATACAGTCATCCCCTCCTGCCTGTCAAACTTTCTGCCAGCCACAAAAACCCAAAGCCCAATTTCAAAGCTCACTTTATGCCAATGGCTCCTCCAAATTTATCTCCAGACCTGACCTCTCAGCAATTTTATTCCCACACCCTCTACTGCCTGCTGGACTCCAGCAACTCAGATGTCCACCAGCACCTGTGCTTCAGCCAAAAATGGCCTTGTCGGTTACATACCATGCACTTCCTTGTCATGCCCAAGCCACCTCAGTGGTCTTCCTCCTCCTGCTCTATTCATCCCTCCCCACAGAAATGCTAACTAGCCTTCAGACTTGAACTCAAATGATCCCTCCTCCTCAGTCTTTCCTCCTCATCCTACTCAGCATCATTCTGAATTCTTTCTGTGCCAGAATGTACCCCAGTAAGTACAACCCACCCCATTCTGCTTTGCCTTAGTTCTTTCTGAGCACTTCTTTCCATGGCCTGACCATAAAGAACACATACATCATAGCCTCTTTTGGGTGGCTCTTACTCACTTTCATTCCCACAGCACCGTGGAGTAGTTGAAAAAATACACAGTGCATAAATGAATGAATCATTTCTTTATATAGACAGTGCCTGTGAACAAGTTAGGTCATAACTCTGCTATAACCATATCTTATTTACAAAATAACTAGAACCAGGAATAATTGTAACCTAGGTTTTAATTTCTTTTCAAAAAAAACCTTAATGAACACAATAGAGTACAACATGAATGACACGATTTCCCTGCCCATGTTTAGTCATCGATTGTGAGGACTCTAACAAGGCCTTATTTATGCAAAATGTTTAAATAACGCTTATAAGCTTTCTTTAAATGCAATCACAGAAAATGTCAGCTGCTTAAAATTCAAGGTGACTCTGCACTACTCTGTCAGTAATACAATGTGAGTATTCATAAGCCACTACAACTTCTTAATATACTATAAAAATCTTGGTCTCATCTCAATAAGCTTGCACATATTGTCCCAGAGATATGACTTTCTGGTGCCTGTATTTTCATAATAAAGTTCTCTTTTAAACATTACAGGCTTTTTAAAAATTGCATATGTATTAACCACATATGCAATTAAACTACTTCCCCCCAAAACTTAAACATGAGAATTTTCTGCCTCACATATAATTGTCAAACTGGGTAACACCCATAGGAGGTAAAGTAGCAGTAAGGCATCTCACTGCTTCCATTCAGCTGGCACAGACTTAAGAGGCTTATCTTTGCATATAACTCTCGGGTTTTCCTACTCCCCCTCACAGGACATCTCCCTACCCCCCAGACAATAAAATGTAAAGTACCCACTTCCAAATTCCACAAGAATATAATATTTGTGACAACTTTCTTCCTCTTCTTCCCTGCCCCTGCCCCCCCGGTAGAGACTTCTCTGACTGTCCTTTCTGGGTCACGGTACTTGTCATTCGGGTTTTTGTTTGTTTTTACACAGACCACAGATAACTTATTCTTTGCATGCAACTCATCAGTTCACCTTACAACAACATAAAAGCAGTACATACATATTCTGTGACTCTAACAGAGTTGGACCAGTACAAAATTCAGAAAAACCAGTAAAAGACCAAGGTACAGGTGTACTGAATTGTTCCTGGTCATGTATGGTCCGGGAGCAACCATCACAATACAAGAATATTAAAATTACCTTGTCAAGACATAAGTTACTTAATCACAATGATAGCTTATGTTCATGAATCACAAACCATACATGAGGCAATATCCTGCCCAGTAAATGTGTATTATTTCATTCCATCCTCACAACAGCAGCCCTAGGAAAAAGTTCTAATGGTATCTCCATTTTCAACACAAAGACACCGCAGCGTTGAAAGGGTACTGGATGCCCAAAGTCACAGTGGCAGCACTAGATGTAAATCCAGACAGGCTGGTCCCAGAGCCCCATGCTCGTATCTCAGATACCACGGAATTTATATATAATGTAAAAGCTGGATCTTAAGTAAAGAGAGGGAGCTCTTTATGCAAAGAAAACTGGTGAATCACTTCCAAGATGAACATTTTGGTGAAGCAACTATCCACCTCCTAACAAATTAGTTGAAAATTCCTATCCTTATATGTGACGTTTGGTAAAAAGTAGACTTTGCATCTCACCAAAGCAGGCAGTAGAACGTGGATCAGAAAGAGCTGCCACGAGATCACCCAAGCCAGCAGTTCCTCAACCTGTGGAGCCGTCACTTGGTGTGATTCCGAGAGACCATTAAGGTGCATTTCGATACAACAGGTCTAGGGTTGAGTCCCAAACTCTTTTTTTTTTTAAGCTCCCAGGTGATTCTGTTGCCCAGGCAGGCTTGGGAAACCTCTGAACTAGTCTATTTCCACAGCTTCCAGCAGGATTACTCCCAAGGGAAATAGAAAGAAGGAATCTATTTCACAACTGCCTTTGGTTGCCTATACCAGTGTTCCCAAACCCTTATTGCCCTAACTTGTGTCTAATTTCCATCTCTCCTGACTTCATTCAGCCAGTATCCTCTTGTCCTCTCCTCAACAGAGAACCATGAGTCATCAACCCTGCATACACCCTGTGCCTGTATGACTTTCCAGGCCAGAAAAATTTACTGTATGTGAGGAAATCAGGAAGTTGTAAAATCCAAACAGACACAGAGAAATTCAAGATTCAACAAATACTGGATGCCACTGAACAGACAGGCCTCTTGTCTCTGTACGCATGTGTCACTCTAAAACAAAAAGCCTAAAACATGAAAACTGCACCTTAAGATAACTGTTTGGTAGCAAAACATTCTCAATGCATTAAGTAAAGGTGACAATTAAAATGATCAGACTCAAGCCCAACACACAATAATCGATCATCACAAAGTCAAATGTTGACTTCATCATTAACCAAATTAAGTGAAACTGAAAAGAGAGATACTTTAACCCAAGTTTTACAAAAACTCTCTTGGCAATTTCTCAATTTTGGACACAGCACAGTTTGCAAAGACAATTATATTAAGCAGTCCACAAAGTGCTAAAGCATGGCTAGTCAGCGATTTTTTCAGGTCACACTTTATCCTCAGATAGGAGCTACAGAGCATCGCAAAACGCTCACCTGATGTGTGATGCACTTCCCTGTGGTGGCCAGAGAGGAGACTGCTGTACAAGGATGACGAACAAGTCTGCAGTTTGAATGGACCACCCTGGTGACTTGCTGCACGATGCTCCTACAGTGGTCCAGGGAGTGCAGGAGAGGAAATCAAAATGAAAAACAGAACAAACTGCTTTAAAAAATAATTCTGATTAAAATGTCTATGCACTGAACTCTTCACTCTTAAGAACATCAAATTTTGCATTTTGTTTCATGAGAATTATACAGATACCAGCCAGCTCAAAATGCAGGTCTGGTTTTACTCAACAGGGCTCAAAGGGAGGCCAACACACACAAAGGTCATCCCCTCAATCAAATTAAGAGCTTGGTCTCCCCATTTGAGCCAGCTACTGTCATTTTTTTCTATGATGATTTTAACCAGTCATCTGGTCAACACATGCTGGTAATCACAAGAATATCAGGTGAAAATGAGCATGGATTGAATAGTAATTGAGCCAAAGCCTAATTTTAATCTGGCATATATTACTATCAACATGCAACTTGAGGGACAATCATGAAAAGGCACAGTTATTAGCATACCAGTCTAATGAGATAGAAAAAAAGCATCAAATGTAAAAAAAAATTAAGTATGCACATAGTCACTAGACTTTCCACTACGCTTTAATTATTTATTAAATGTATGTCTATTTCATTTACATTGTACCAGAATGGCTTGCACATGGTTAAGTAAAAATTATCCACTGTATGATGAATGAGTGAATGTGTGAATGGATGAATGAAAGAGAGAATGAATGAATCTTCCATATACCTTTCCATCAGGGAGCTTGGTGCTTGTAGTTTTTGTGAGGTAAAGACCTATGCATAGAAATGGAAGAAGTTGAGGACTTGATCTGCTAACATAGTTTTCAGCCCCATCTATTAAAATATTTTTAAATACTGGTAATTCCCAGTTGTCCACATTAAATAAAATCAGTAGCACAGTTATTATAAAATATCCCCAAATTAGTCATCACTGACCTGATTTCCAGTCTTTGATTACTAGAGCTGATCTGCATATTTGTTTAGGCTGATTTTAAATTTAGTTTGGGCTTCCTAAACCCATGCCAGGTAACAGTAGGAAGGAGAAGGCCCAGGATTATATTGGGTGTCAGAAAGAAACTATTCTGGAGCTATGAATATGATCTCCAATGTGAACAATCTGTAAACAGGTAAGTGAGCCAATTATCCTTGGGTACATGGCAACACATCTCGGTAGTCATGATTATTTTCATCCATACACACTCACTATTTTTAAGAGCACAATCCAGCTGGAAAGGAAAATAATTTCAATCACTTTCCAACACTTTTCAAAGTAATGAATAGCAGCCAAAGTATTCTTACTTCTAACTAACCCATTCACCAAGTACCTATTTAAGTATCTGTTATTGAATGCCTGGGACTGATAATCAAAAGATGTTAGTTTTCTAGTCCTTTGCTTTAACCATGTGTTATCCGTGAGTACAGAAAAAGAAGATAAACTGTTCTTAAACTGTTCTAGACTATAACGTCTTTGAAGACACTATCCCTTTATGAAAAAGCTTGTTGAGTTACAAATTTAAATAGTGACCAAGTTAAATAGACGCTCACAAAATTCTAATTACTCTTACACATACTTGTTTTAAGGGGAGGAGTCTTAATTTCATCTAGTAACATCAAATGAAGCAGAGAACCTGGATAATTACTTTTGAACAAGGTGCAGGTACTGTGCACTTGCAGGCAGCACTTTCTTTATGAGCTAATAGTTGAGAGAATGTTTGCCTGTATATCGATGTGTGCACACAATCCTATTTACATATCACCTGGCAGATAAGGTTTTATGGAGTCCAAATTACAGTCTCCTATTCTGCTGAAGTGCAGAGAACAGTCAAACATGATGCAAATGCTGTAAAATATTAATTTACTCTCACTGGTATGCCTACTTATTTTAGAAGTATTTGTGTTGCTACACCAGTTACAGTAATTAAGAGAGTTAACATAACTTGCTGTATTCCATCAGAGGTAAGTAGCAAAGAATAAAAGCAAGGAAAAATGGATTCACTACAAAATAATACAAACAATATGCCCCCCAAAAACAACCTGTAGACTGTTTTATACAATATATACACCAAAATGGAATATTTAATTTTTAAAAATCACAGCAGAGCAACATAACGCAATACCATTAATAGTGGAAGACTACTAAGAAAGATAGCCTAAATAATATTGATGTGCTAGTCAATGAAGAAGAGATAATATGTAAATAATGTAAACACAGGAGATAATATAAATACTTTGAAGAGAGGAGGTCAAAGATAAAAGTGCAAAAAAAGAAAATGTGTCATACACAGGGACAGAAAAAATACACTTTCTTTGAATGCTAGAAGCAGAAGTGCTTATAGGTCAGCATCAGTAAAAATTATCATTAAAAGCTTCTGCTAGGTCCTGGCTGGGTAGCCCAGTTGATTAGAGCGTCTGCCAAGGTTTCAGTCTGGACTGCAGGTCAGGGCTCATACAAGCAGCAACCAATGAATGCATACATAAGTGGACAACAAATCGATGTTTCTCTCTCTCCCTCCCTCCCTCTCTCTCTCTCTATTTCATTTTCTCTCTCTCCCCCTCTATTTCCTTCTCCCTCTCTAAAATCAATCAATAAATTGTTTTTAAAAAAACCTTCTGCTAAATGACTCCCTTGAAACATGTCATGTTAAAGAACTCCTAAATGTATGTATAGGGAGGGAAGAGTTCCTCTTAGCCTGAATCAAAACACCCTCATCAGGAGAGCCCCTGCTCCCTTAAGTCTCAAATTCTGATTACATATAATGAAGTTTCTGAAAAGTAATTTTCAGGTATGATACAATTTTTGCTTACATTATAGCAATTATCATTGCATTTTCATTATTCCACAAATGGCATGCATTAAAACTATAGAAAAATCAATGATACATTTCTGCTAACATCAAATATGTCAAAGAAAATATGCTTGTTGCTTTTTTGTAACAGCTCTAAATATGTTTTAGCACATTTGTGATAATATGTAGTACAAATATTTATTGTACATGAGCCTGAAAAGTTCAGATTTATAAGGATTATAAAGTATATACACTGATAAAGAAAAAATATGTAAATTATGAAATAAAAAAAAGATTTTAAAGAACTGTTCCCACAAGTAAAGGTTATTTACCCAAAATTTTTTACTTCAACTGTAATTTTAAGTATTTATGTGTATTTTTAAAACCGTGATCTAATTACAACTCTTTCAGCTCACATTTAAGGATAGTCTCTAAAACTAGCACTGAGTATGCTTATCATTATATCATCTCAAAGTATTTCTGAATCAGTATTTTATTAAACTGAATTTAATGAATCTAAAATTTGAACAGCATGATTTCAACTGCTTTCCAACTTCATTCTTTAAAAAACAGGGCAGTCCTGTATGCAGTGCCCTAAAACAGAAATTATTCTCTCTATTGGGATTTCAATGATTTATAAATATTTTCAATGCTTTAAAAAAAATAAGGAGGGCCTCTTTCTGCTAACTTTACAAGTCTAACAGGAACTAAATCTGTTCTTTGAAGCAATTAAACTGCACATATCTAAATCTCTCACAGAAGCCAATCATTCAAATAATCAAGTTATTCTGAAAACATAAAGCAACAGAAATAAAATTATCTACCTTCCCGTAAAAATGATATTCTTACTGCACTGTCACTTTACATATGCAAGTATTTAAGCTCTTCAGAGCCTAAACTATGTATTATTTTCAGACAACCGTAGTTTAAAGAATTATATTTACCTCATTTCAGGGTTTTAGTAAAATATGTTTCTTGACTAACTTCTAAGAGGAAACAAAAGGAGCTGGTGTCACAAAGTGTTAGTCATCAGAAACTACCATTGAAGGTAAGTGCCAAAGTACAATCCACTTGACATTTCAGAGTGGAAAAAAATAAAATAAATAAAGGCACATTATACAAAAGGAATGTGAGTCCTTAAACTCTGTAGTGACAATAAAAACAGGAGTCTCAGATTGTGTTGACTAACATTTTAATAATCTCTTAAGGCTGACCTTTCCCAGGACTCCCAGACAACTGAGTAAGGTATGTTGAAACGCAGGGCCATCTACAGGCATTTGACATATAATCTGATAGCTCAGAGTTTTTCTTGAACCTTTCTCTAAGAATAAAAGACAATTCAGAAGTCCTGAAGCTGATTTATATTTCTGAAAAAGAATCACCCTGTTTACCAAACCCTCTTAAAACGAAATCCAAAGAGGAAAATATTAACTTTCATAGTTCCAAATCAAGTACATTTTTCATCCTTATTTTAGCATGAATTTGTGCACTCAAAAATACATGTTCACATTTTAGTGCAAGTAAAAACAATTTGCTGTAAGTTGTAAAACATCATCCAGGACCTCCAAGGTTTTGTGTAATACTTCCACTTCTGTGCCTTATTTTATATCCTTGCTTCTCATCTGCTTACCTCCTCAAAGTAACAATAGCTCGTTTTCACCATTGCAGCGCTTGATCTGAGCAGGACACAATCCAGTTATCAACCACATACACTCACTAACAGAAACTCATAACCCCAGTTCCCACCTCCAAGTAAGTATACAGCACTTTCAATCCTAGCCCCAGGGGAAAAGAAGGATTTACCAATTTAGCTATGGGGCTATAAAACTGTACACCGGCAGGGTCACAACTAAATCAAGGCATGATTATTCTCAATTATTTTTACTTTCAAATATCAGGGTTACTAAAATACTTCCCTTTATTTGGATTGCCTAAGCAACACAAAGCTTCAACCAAAGCTACTTGTATTTTTGTAACACTGATCTTCACATAACAGGCTTAGTATGGTGGTGTCCTAATGCAAAGAGTACACTGCTGCTCTCTAAATTATTAAATGTTCATTAAATTATATCCCAAAATAGAACAGAAGTTGTTTATTGTGCAAAAGCACTACATATTATCAGTCTACCAGCTACAGGCCTGTATCATCTCTTTCCTGAGACAAAAACCTTTTAACTTACTGCCACAGATGTAAAGATCATGGCCACAGATCCAAATGAAGAATAAATGCATTCCTAGTGGCTGCCTACTATCAGTATCCCCTTTTTTTTCTATTATGATGGCTGTAGAGTTTTAAAATGTGACAAAGGGGACAGCCTTCCCAAATAAATTACTCCAACTGAACAGACGCTATAGAAAACCAGTCATGATGACTGACAAACTTGGATTGTAAAGGATGAGCACTTTCACACTTGAAAGGGTTAAGTGCCTGCCTGCAAGGCCAATGGCACCAGACGGCAAAAGAAATGTTGCCTTAGTCAGCTCTGAAAGGTTTCTAACAAGCACCAAATACTTGTTGATCTGTTCACAATAAACACCAGCAGGATTGTCGGTCTCCTTCCACTGTCTGGGGAGAGGCATTTACATAGTACACCCAGTAAGAACAGCTTGTTGGTCTTCTTTATGAGTATGGAGAAGCCTCACTCAGCGTCTCGGCCCAAATGACTGAAAGACGCAATTGAAATAGTGAAGTCTCTCATCTGGCTTGGGCAGCACAAATACCGTACATAAAACACTTGGAATAGTCCAGGCACAAAACAAACCCACCTGAATGGACGAGGAACACTGCCTGTTGCCATGGCAGCCTGATCTAATTACATGAGTGATCAGGGTTGGAGTAAGTGCACGGAAAACCTACACCACTGACCATATCTACAGGAGGAGAAAGGCAGGCAGGCAGGTTGAAAAGAAACTTCTACCTCTGCTTTATGCAGAAGGGATCATTTAAGCCCACTTGTCTGTGGAGCTGTTAAAATACTGACTGATACATGCACAGAGGGCGGTCAGAGGAGATTTAAATACCACAGCATTAGCTGTTATGGTGCAATCCCTTCCCATGAGTTCATGTGCAGGATTTTCTCATCCTCCTCTCTGGTGGTTTCCCCAGGCATATGCTTCATTCCAGAAAAAAATAAACAAGAAAAAGAAAAGAAAGAAAAAAGAAAAGCTCAAGTATCGAACTTCCTTCGCCCACCAAATAAACCACAAGGTGGGCTTTAACAGGGTCTTCAAGGAACTGCAGGTCTCCCCCAAAACCCAATCAGAAATGGTTTAGCTAACACTGTTGAAAAGTAACTACCCGTACCTGAGCCTAAAAATAAACACCAATAACTACCCTCTGCTGTATGCGATATGTAGCGATGATGTTTAAATATTAAGAACAGTCTATATTATAAAACACAAATGTCATTGAGCTGTGGCTACCAGCTTGCCAAAGGAGAACTTATTTGCATACACACATTCCCTTGCATGCACGACAGGATGTGCAGGGAGTAAGTCACTCTAAGGCATTAGTTTTGATTCTGTGGGTGTAATGGGGTCTTCTAATTTTGCAAGCTGTATCCTGTGGATCTCAGAGAAGCTAAAAAATCTCTTTGGGGACAGAACCAGTTTGGAGGAGTCCCTACTGCACAGCATACGGTAAACAAAATAAAAATAGCTTGCCGTTCTCGTTAGCCACATCGCGCATTATATAACCAGCTTCCGACTGGCTTTTTTTTTTTTTTTTTTGCCCTTACTACTCTTCAGCAATTTCCCAATCTTCCGAAGTATTTATATTACCCTCTTATCTGTAGGATTATACACTAAGAAAGCAAAACAAAACGAGCCTCCACGGGATTGAACCAAGCCCCACAGTCCTTAGAAGTCGATTTTTTTTTGTTTTGTTTTGTTTTCTGGCAGGATCTCCACCACCACTCTACTTTCACCCCCAATCAAGGTTCTTGCTCAGTCTCTCTAGAAAACCTGGATTGTTTCATCGCTTCCAGTCAGCCCCCTACGTGGTCTGAAATAAAATGAAAGAACAAGCCACGGAGTTTGGGCTGGCAGTCTGAGGGCTGGGGGCTGAGGAGGGGTCCGGAGCTGCAGAGTCAGTCAAGTGGCCTCGGAGGGCCCCCTCTCTATTGCCACGGCCCCCGTCTACTCCCACCCCTCCCCCCCCGCGCGCGCACACACAAACGCACTCACACTGGCGCGCTCCCTCAATCACTCTCCTGCCGCGCTCTGCCACCGCCTCACCTCTCGCTCCGCCCGTCCGGCCCCTTCCCTGCCCCCTGCGGGGCCGGCCTGCGCTCAGCGCTGGGACCACGTAGGAGGAGGCGGCGGCTGCGGGAGTGGCAGTGTCTCCGACCCGGCCCGGAGAGAACGAGCAGCGGAGCTCCAGGGCGCATCCCAATCCCCGCAGCCCCTCCACCGCCACCTCCTCCTTCCCCTCCTCCTGGCTTCATTCACCCTCCCAGCAGCCGCGCAGCGTTGCACTCCAGCGCAGGCAGGGCAGCGCCTGCCGCCGCTCTTCTGCTCTAGCCGCCGGCGCAGGCGGGGGTGCCGGCCGGGGCTTGGACGCTCACTGGCTCCCGGCTCCGGGCGGCTCGGCGGCAGCACAGGATCAGGAAGCGGCTGTACCAACAGGGCCGCCACCGCCACTCCGGCCGCCGCGCTCCCAGCACCGCGACCCCGCGTCCATCCCTCCGCGCCGCCCCCCCGCCCCAACCCCTCGCGCTCCCACCGCCTGCGCCTGGCCGCGCGCAGTGTCCCGGCTCCTCCGCCGGCGCTGACCCCTCCCGGTCCATAGCCGAACGCCCGGCGGGGCCGGTCTCCGCGAGGGGACCCCAGCCCCGGGCTTCCGAGGCTGGGCAGCCACCTGCGAGTCAGCCTAGCCCCTCCTCCAGACCTGCTCGCTCCCACCACCCTCTGTGGGAAGAAGAGTGAGGAGGGGGCACGGGAGGAGAGGGAAGCGCAACCCGAGCGGCCGTCGCCTCCCTTTACCCCACCTCCAGGGAGGAGGACATGACCCTCCGCGTTCGCTGCCAGACCAGCAGCCGCCGGAGCCCGGCGCCGCCGCGCTCAACCCCCGCGCCCCCAGCCCGGGCGCGCCCACTCGCTCCGCGGGCGCCCACCGTGTCCCCGGCTGTCCCCCTGCCGGCCAGACCCGCGCCCAGATCGGGGTGTCGGCTCGGAGGCTGAAGCCGGGGAAGGTTGTATGTACACACACACACACACACACACAAACAACACAACAAGCCGCGTCGATTTCCTTCGCTCCTCTTCAAGCTGTTTTCCGTGCTGTCGATTGGGGTTTGGGGTTTGTTTGCTGGTTGTTGCTTTGGCCCAATTAGGAGAGCGGGGGTAGAGGGAATGTTAATCTAAATCAGGGGAGAAGGGAATGGGGGAGGGTAGAGACAGAATCAGAGGAGAAAAAAAAATCGCCACTTACTGTAAAGTGTAAATGGATCTGGGGTGGCGTGGGGAAGGGGGGGCAGAGGGAGAGAAACAGTGTCTTGCGGCTGCTGTAGCTCTGGCTGCTGCTCCAAGGGGCTTGTTTTGGATCCCCCTGCAGTGAAACAGGTCCTGTACGGCTCCGCCACTGTAGTAGAAATGATGTCTGCGGTATACTCTGCTCTCTCCTCCTCCTCCTCCTCCCCCCACACTCTCTTCCCCTCCCCTCCCTCCTCCCTCCGCCCTCCCTCCCTGGCGCTCTCTCGCGCTCGCTCGCTCGCTCCAGTATGTAAATGTGTAATAGAAGCCAAATATGGAGCAGTTGGCTGCCGCCGCCGCAGCTCAAGGATCCGACAGGAGGGGGGGCACCCTCCCGCGGGCGGTGGGGCAAGCGGCTCCGAGCCCGGCGAGCGCTGGGTGAGCTGGCGGCCCGCGCCCTTAACCCTTCGGTGCGCGCGGCCCGGGCACTGCTGCCCTCAGGAAGGTGGGCGCGTTTCCCCCAGACGGACTTGGAGTCCAGGGACTAAGAGTGGGAGGAGAGACCCTGGCCGGAGGGGACAGTTCTTCCAGGTTTGGGAAAGGGGCGGGGAGCTGAGGCGATGAGGTAATTGTAGCGGTGACCGATCGGTCCTCCTGCGCCTCCCAGGGTCCCTGCACCTCCTTGGAGGGGACAGAACGACAAGCGGGGTGCAAGTCAGGCACCTTGAAGGACTCTCTGGCTCCGAGCCAGTGAAGTAGCCCATGGGGAGGGGAGGGGAGGCGGGCCATTGCTGATTCTCTAGGTGCAGAGAAGAGTGCTAGAGGGCTGACTGCGATCGTCCTGCACGTTCACCCTCACTCGGTTTGGCTTCAGCGTTCCAAGACCCAGACCACTGGGCGGCGGGGAGTGCCTTTGCTTGCAACTCTAGGAAGTTTTAAGGGTACCCCCTCAACCTACTGCACGTGCACCCTTACCTTTACTGCCTGGAAAAATCGGTGACCTCCCTGCCCTCCTTTTTCTTCCTGCAGGTCCCGAAATCGGCTGTGGGCGTGGAACTACCCAGCTGTAACCGTGGTAGACTACCCGCGTACTCCTCTCGCAGCTAATTCGGGATCATTAATTTAATCGGAAATGAGGTAACTAGTGTAGGAGATAGAGAAAGCAAACCGAGCATCAAATGGCAGTTCTCAGTGAATCCATGCCGAAGAACTTCCTCTGGACTCAATTTTTAATTGCGGTTCTCTACTCCCCACCACCTGCCCCCTCCGCATGTACCACCGCCTGGAGTTAGTTGGGTGGGAAGGAATCTTCTTTCGAGGGGTGCACCTTGCCCACAGGTGATACACCTGGAGGAAGAGAAGGCACATCATGCTAAATGGAGCTTAGTGTGGTGTTCCCCTTGCTGCAGATAATTCTGGAAGACCAGTAGGTGTCTGGGCAGCATTTGACCTCCTTCAGGTGCTTAGAACCAAGTGTCTGGAAACATAATCCTTCCAAGTAAGTTTGTCTCTGGAAGCCACCACTATTGACTGTAAGCTGTATTTGAGAAACCTTTTGGCTGAGTTTACTTATGACCTAACGGTTAGTCACCAACTGAAGCAGGATACGGAATCACCAAGAGGAATGTGTCAGCTTTTAAACAACCGTATTGGAGAAACAACGTGCTACAAATAAAGATTTGCCTAACTATGAAGGTGTAGAGCCCCTGAAATATTTTGCTCACATTTTGAAATACCATATACATATACATGGCTATTTAAATAGAACTACTACTGTTCACTGTTACTCGTTTCTACAACTTCTTTTTTTTTTCATTTAAAAATCAGTGATTGTTATGGTTTAAACCTAGGGTTGGTCTAAAATGACATTGTTGGTCTCATTACAGCCTCTAGTGGACAGTTAACATCAGTTTCCTGAAAAGGCTCTTCCTAGTGTTGTGTTCCTTGACAAGTATTATCAAGGTGAAGGTTAATACCTCAGACAGAACCGGGAAATATCGCTTTCCCCCACTTTGCAGAGAGCTGGCTTCTGAAAGGAGCAGCAGCTGTCGGCTCTGCACGGAAAAGATGTATGCTTTGTGCTGCAGGTATTCTTATTACTGGCCTGTGAATAAACAGAGAGCTTCTGCTATTCATTTCAATTTCAGACAGTTTTCATAAAAACTCATCTAAAATATTTTTATAACAGAAAATATTGGTTGCCATGTTTTTGGCTTAACTGAGATGTTTTTATTCCAACTCCTAATCTGCAGACTGTCCAATCCACCTACACTCTATTTTTAGACATCTTATATTTAGAGAATTTTCAGTTAAAAAAAAAGAGCTAATATTTTAATTGTTGCATTGGCACAAGCAGTTAATTTATTTTATAAACCTTAAATTAAAACACATAATTCAGATTAGAGTTAGTCAATTAATTTAAATATTCCCTCAAGGAAACTAAATATGTATATTACTAAAGCAGTAAGAACAATTAATAAGAAATGTGTCATTTACTTTCCTAGCCATTAAGATTAAAGCCATAAACTGCCATTAAGATCTGTAACTATTTCTTCCTGCAAGGTCCAAACAACATAAACATAATAATACTCATGATACAATTTCATTACCTTTAGCATGGAAATCTTTTATTTTCAGATGGCAAAAAAGTAAATATACAATCACAAAAAGCTGGTACTGATTCTTTAAAAACAACACTCTCATGCAAATAAAAACCCATTGGAAGAAGAGCAGAACTTTCACGAAGCTAGTAGACAAATATGTAGTACTGTGGTCTTATTCATAAACCTGATACTATATTCGTACAAGCAGAAGTCAAACTTTGAAATAAAGGAAACTGAGAAACAAGGCCTGCTGAGCCTTACTCCTCATTTGTGTTCTGCATTGATCAAACACCATGGAAAATCATTTCATCCCTAATACCTGTTTCACTCTTTCGGTAGTATCCACTTTTGAAGGTTGCAACTAGGCTATCACATATATATATTACATCATTACATCTTGCATCCAAAATGTCTTCAGAACAGCAGCAGCAATTGGGAGCTTTTGAGACAATCAGAAAGAGCATTCCACCCCAGACCCACTGAATCAGTCTGCCTTTGAACCAGCCCCTGGGTGATTCCTAAGCACAGTAGTGTGAAGAATGCTGTCTCTTCTACAAGAGCTCTGTCTGCATGAATTTGGTCACTGACGCAGAACTTAATTCCTCAATTTATTCCTTTTTTATTCCCTCCCTCTTTTATTAATTTTTAATTTTAATGAAAAATTATTACATTTTATGCTTTGGTTAAATCATACTGCACTTCAGAAGAGCTGTGATTTATGCACAAATCTGCATCATCATCACCAAGAGAACACTCTGAAGAATGCACTGGGCCTTGAACAGAAAGGCTTCCTTCATGGCAGCAGAGGGAGCACAAGAGCACTTTAATGAACCAACTGCACAGGCAGTCCGAGAACCATAAGTGGTTTTAAATGGTAGCATATTTTTTCTTTGGAAGTAACCTCCTATATAATTCAGAACAAAACAAAACAAGCAAATACAAAGAGCTTACCAGGTTATAACAAGTAAATATCAAACAGATTGGAAGTGAAATATAATATAGATGTACTTATTTGGAGTTTTAGGCTTGAATACTTGAAAAAATGGTGGACCTCATACCTGGAAAGGTATGAAAAGTTATACCTAGAAAAGATGCCTTAGCTTTTCTCCAGTCAAAAATAAAAATAATCATGTCACACTATATGTAAATCAAACTATCATGTTGTATGCCTTAAACTTAGTGATGTATGTAAATTATTTCTCAATAAAATTTAAAAAATTAAGATGACATACAGAATGAGGCAACTCTAAGAGCAACTCCTACTTATTTTAAAACGTCGGAGTCAAGCCCTGGTCAGGTGGCCAAGCTGTTTTGAGTGGCCTCCCATACACCAAAAACCTTTTGGGCTGGATTCTGTCAGGGCATGGCAGGGTGTGTACAAAAGATAGATGTTTCTCACATTGATGTTTCTCTCTCTCTCTCTCTCTCTCTCTCCCCCGCCCCTTCTCTCTCTCCCCCCCTTTCTTCTCTCTAAAATCAATAAACATATCCTTGAGTGAGGATTTAAAAAAAATGTTGGGGTCAATTAACCCATCACCATGTCTCATAATTCATTTCTTTTGGATTTAAATATGTTGGTGAAAAAAATGCTCTGACATATATTTTTGCTCGGATATAATTTTTAATTGATTTTTTAGAGAGAAAGGTAGGGGAGAGAGAGAGAGAGTGAGAGAGAGAGAGAGAGAGAGAGAGAGAGAGAGAGAGAGAGAGATCCATCAGTTGCCTCACCTGGGAATCAAATCTCCAACCTTTTGGTGTATAGGCCAACACTCCAACCAACTGAGCCACCTGGCCAGGGCCTTCTTACCACGTTTAACTTCACAGTAATTTTAGGGTTTTGTCCTTAATGTTTGCAGTGGTGAGGACTTACAGTTGAATTATATCTGTAGCATTTTACACTTCTAACAGTCTCCCATATTACATCTTCAAATACTCTTATTAAGTGGACAAGACATTAGAAAGCCAAGCCTCAAAAAAGTTTTGGAACTGGCTTATACTTTCATAGCACCAGATCATTTAACTGTTACAATAATCCAATGAGGTGTTCAGAAAGGAGGGAAATCATAGAGCACAGGTGGCAAACACAAGGCCCACAAGCTGAATTCCGCCCTCCACCCTGTTTTATCTGGTCCAGCACCTTGTTTCTACCCAGTGGCAGTGCTGAGCTCCTTGCCCCTAGTTAAGGAGCAGTTACGTTTATACAATCCTAAAATGACATTTGGCCCTTTGAAGGCAACCATGAGGCTCATGTGGCCCCCAGTGAAGATGAGTTTGACACCCCTGCCATACAGGTTAAAGACTTGACAAGAATGTTCTTTACAGTTTTAAAGGTTTTTCAAAGTTACTAGATAGTGAATATTTAATAAATGAATTTTTAAATGAAATTTATGAATGGAGACTATATCTTAATTCTCAACTTGCTCTGTATGTAATTATCATTTAACCAACAGCCTTATGGTTTGATGTAGTTCTCACTTATTTATCAGCATTTATTATGTACCTACAATAACTAGGTCATAAGACTATAAAGATGAGAAAGACATCTTTGTCTTCAAGGAATTCATGTCAAAATAAATATTACCTTTTGAAAACCACTCATTTCTA